TACATTACAACAACAAAAAAATAATAATAAAGCATACATTAAATTATATCGGGTTCTGTAAATTATATCGGGTTCTGTAGTTAACAAGCAAATTCAAAGAATTGGGGTCCCCCGCTTTCGGTGTCTTTGTGGGTGATATGTTATTTTTTATAACATATTGTGTGTAATATGAACATCTTATCATATGTCATTTTTTTATAAAGTAACATTGAAGTTGATTTTTTGTGAAGTACGAAAGCCCTAGCCCTCACCGTTCAAAAGTTATGGTCATTAAAGTTAAAGTTTTTTCATAAGTACGTAAATCTCCAAGGTCAAAGTCAAAAGGTGAAGGTTGTTGGTATCCAATGAAATGTCTTGCTACAAGGAATTAAAATGTGAAATATAAAAGGCCTAGTATCCACTGTTTAAAAGTTGTGACCAAGGTTAAAGTTTTTAAAAAGTAGTTAAAACTCCAAGGTCAAGGTCTCAGGGTAAAAGTTAATGGTATCCAATCAAAGGTCTTCTCACAAGGATTACATATGTTAAGTACGAAAGCCTTAGTCCTCACCGTTCAAAAGTTATGGTCAAGGTTAAAGTTTTTTCATAAGTATGTAAATCTCCAAGGTCAAGGTCAAAAGGTCAAGGTTGTTGTTATCCAATGAAAGGTCTTACCACGAACAATAAATATGTGAAATATGAAAGTCCTAGTACCTACTATTCAAAAGTTATGGCCAAAGTAAAAGTTTGGAATTTTTTAGTAAAAGTATGTCAAAATCCAAGGTCAAGGTCAAAAGGTCAAATTTGGTGGTACCCAAAGAAAGGTCTTGTCACAAGGAATACACATGTGAAATATGAAAGTCATAGCTTCACTAAATCTAAAGTTATGGTCAAGGTTAAAGTTTTTGTGACGGACAGACTGACAGACTGACGGACAGACGGACAGACAGACAGACGAATGAGATTTAATGTCCCCTCGCTTTCGCGAAAGCGGGGGACAAAAATGACTAGAAATTGTTTTACACAAAGTCCCTTCTTTTTAGGCCAGAGTTGAGCATTTAGGATTTTTATAAGTATTCTTCAGCACAATATTTCAATTTCTTATGACATATTTACATGCTAGAAGAAATGTAATTTCCCCTTTAGCAAGCAAAAATACACTGTTTACACAATTAAAACATGTTTTATTCATTATTGTTTACTTCAACAGTACTATACTCATATTGACACTTAAAGAATTAAAGAAAAAAAAAAATATATATATATATATATATATATATATATATATATATATATATATATATATATATATATATATATATATATATATATATATATATAAACCTTCTCCTGAATTTACTTAGCATCATTTGAATACTTGAATATTTTTTTAAATTCGATCGGGTTCGAAATTCTAAAAAATGGAGACCTGTGGTTGTGGTTAGGACAGTTGGCGAGTTGCAGCATTAACTGGGAATGATTAACCGTATGGCGTATGCTATTGCTGTTATCATTGTGACAGTAACTAAAAAAAGCATCTGTTTTATGATTTTACTATTCTTAATTTGAAACAGCGCTTAGGGGGAAAAACAAACTTGCTAGACTGGGCACAAAGATAAATGAAATTTAGACCAGAGGAAATTCAAACTGCTGCAACATGTAATTGTATATTAGTAATAATTAAAGTTAAAGAAATAGTAAACTGATTTTCATGAAGCGGATGAAAAACCGGTAGAGCATAGTTGAAACTTCCTGTGGTCTCCATTTTCTTTATCATTTACTAGTACTAAGAGTCTTTTATTTTCATGATCATAAACAGAGATACAAAACAGTTATGAATGGTATGAACTTATGAAAACAAAATACAAATACAAACTGCAACGTTAAGGCTTATTGGAATAAAATCATATTGTGTGGTTTGTTAGGCTAATGAATATCTTAAAGTGATTACTATAATAGTGGTCATCCTATATGTTGAACTCAGCAAGTTTGTCAAAATCAAAAAGAATCACTGACCCTCCCTTAATAAGTTAAAGTGTGTTATATGTGGGTATCATTCTTAAATACTGGCAGAAATATCTGTAGCATACATGATTTATTAATATAATAAATAGGGGGATTTATGTAATATTTTTCATTGGCAAGGCTTATTCAAGTATTGATGGGAGAAAATATCCCATACAGTGGAATTAATGGGATAAATCCTATGCATGACAGTATGTGGGAGAAAATATCCCACTGATGAGTGTTCGTGGGATTTATCCCATGATTACAATTCCATGGGAGAAAAAATCTCAGATGGGAGAAAAAATCCCATCTGAGATTTTTTCTCCCATCTGAGATTTTTTCTCCCATGGGATAATGGTGGGATAATTGGTGGGACTGAAAATCCCACCATTCTCCCATGGGATTTTGATATTTGGGACTTAATATTTCTCAAACTAGATAAGCTTGTGAGTTCAACATGAGATTATGTGCTACTGCTAGAAAATCCCACCAAGTAATATTAATGTTTTTTTGATATCGCAATTGGAAATGGTAGTAAAAAGTCCGGACTATGTCGTGTCCGGAGTTAAATGTCGCACTGTTAATTCCTTTAATGCTTTGATTTTGTTTGATCATAATTGCAAGAATTTCTGCACAAAGGAGAAGCAGACATGGTGCAACAGGATCTCCCAGACAACATCCTCTTTGGATATAAAACTGTTCGGATAAAATTCCACATTGAAGTACAGATACACAAAATTTTGTATTTAGAATCTTTACCCATTCAATAATGTTTTGACCGAACCCAAAAAATTCTAATACTTTATACATAAAGGTCAAGAATATTGAATCAAAAGCCTTATCGAAGTCTATAAGTACAAGCAATCCTGGTATATTACTAGATTCAGTGTAATCAATAAGATCATAAAGAAATCTGGTATTTTCACCAGTATATCTTCCTTTTAAAAAGAAAATGAGTATTTGATATGATATTGTCCAGGGTGGATCTTATGCTATAACTAATACAACCTGATAAAAGTTTATAAAACACATTTAAATGTGTAAAAGTTCGCCAATTTTTCAAAAAGTCTTCTCTTGGCACATCACCTTTTGGTAAGCAGGTAATTAACCCTAATCTTTGAGAAATGGGAAGTTCTTTCTTCTGAAATATGTTATTTATAGCAAGTACTATAAAATGTTTTAAATCTAACCAAAAAAATTTTAAAAATTCCGCTGTAAAGCGATCACTTCCTGGTGACTTGTTTTTCCTGTTTTTTGACACCTCTAAGACTTTATTTTCCTAAATTTTTCCATCAAGTCTTTTGGCAACATGATTTTCAAGTTTTGGAACCTGAGTAACTTTTATAATTTCTGCAAGATCTATGTCGAGCAGTTCTGCATCTACAGCAGTGTAAAGAGATTTGTAATACATACTGATTTTATTTAAATTTCTGACTGATTGTAAATAGTTTCATTTTCCTCTGTTTTAATTTTTTTTATTATCGTATTCAAATAATTACGGGATTCTAATTTACAAAAATATTGAGATGGTTTTTCTCTATCTTCAACCCATCTGGCTCGGGATCTTATAATATGACCTTGTAACTTTTCTTTTCTTAAATTCTCAAGATCTGTTTTTTTCTCCTGTATCAAATGTAGATTTAATGTATTCTCTGCCTCTAATTTTTCTATTTGTGCAATTAACAAGGCCTCTTCTTTATTTTTTCTTTCTTTCTATATGATGAATATGTAATAGTAATGCCTCTAATCTCCATTAGAAGGACTTCAAGAATTGTATTTTTGTCAATATTTTCTATAATCACACATCAGATAAGTCGATGTATTCTTTGATGTTAATTTAATTTTCCTTAAAGGTTGGAATAAAAAAAAACCAACTTGTTTTTAAATTGATATAAAATATTTTGATTATATGATACATATCTCAAAATTTGTAATCACTCATAAGGTTTGTTTTCATATATCAAGTGTAAAATAAACATGTCTTTATGATATAACATCTAAGTACTTAAAATCTCTTCTATTGTTTCTTTTTAAGTACTTAACTTACTCGGGCAGATGTCCTTGTTCCTCATCAGTGATCGGAAGTCCGGAAATAGTTGTCCTATCATGATAAGCGCTACTATTTGGCGTGTAAATTACTATCTCCATCATCAAAAGAATCACTTCTAATCTGCGACAAGTGCTTAAAAGTTTCATCTTACTTAAAGGCACAAAGACTTACCTGTCTAATTTCTGAATATGTTCTCAACTTTATTGTATACATTAAATGTTACTAGCTAATTGTAATGTAATTTTCTCGAGAAACTTTTTATACTACACAGCTATTCTAATTAGGGGTAAAATATAATGAACGTATCATACAGCATACAATATTTATTAGATAGTAATTCAAAATGTCTGATAGTATTTTGACTTTCAATTACCCTGTGAACAATCATTTTACATATTTCATTCATGTATCAAGTTAAGCTGTTTCTTCTCCACTTTAATTATAAAATAGATATTTGAAAAGTAATTTAAATATCTAAACATACAATGTGAAGATGATGAATTATCTAATACTACCTTTTAATTTTATTTAAAGATTTTTGTTTTTACATTAGGATGCAAGTAGAATAATCTATACCATTTTTTTTTTGCATATATAAATACTAATATATATCAAAGTGTAAAGTTATTTAAAACTAATGTTTAATTCCAGATGAAATTTATGATGAATCATTAGAATTGGCTTTGGACGGAGACAATTTACGTGAATTAATTGATGATAAATTGTACAGGTTCACTAGGACGTAATTTATGTTTTCTCACATCTAAGAGAAAGGTATCTACAAATTCGACAAATATTGAGTCACCTTGAAATCTGTTAATTACACAGTATATAATAAACATCATCAGAGTAAATATTAGAAAAAATTTTAGTACACTAAGAAGTATAATAATGTATAATTTTAGGGTACAATAAGCCTGAGCTAACACATGCTTTATAACCTCAATAAACATAAACATAAGTAGCGGGGACCGGAAGGATGTCATAAATGCACTTAAAATAAATATTCTTCGTCTGTTTTTAATCTCTTATCAACATGAGCATTCACCTGGATCTCCTCGCCTTTATTCTGATGTTGGAATACATTTCAGGTTTGTCGTTAAGATCAATATTGTTTGTTAACTTTTGCCTCTAAATACAAGAATATTTAGTGTTTGTATAAAAAGATAGATTAGATATGAGAATGAAGATTATTTCTCATGAAAAAAGAAATTCGGTCGCTTTTACCAGTTTTCTTTCAAGAAATTATCCATATAACTTGCATGTATTCATGCAATACTTTACAAAAGTTATTTTGTTGATGATTAGTTTTTAAATATAATTGAAATCTTATCATAAAACAGTTGACGGATTGAAATGTTTGAAATGTAACACTGTCCAGCATGGATCTCTGTGCGGACCTGATGCCACTTTTCTGAAGACCAACTCATCCATGATAGAAGAATGCGACATGACATGTAGAGTCAGTAAAATCACAGCACCCAGTGGAAACGAAGGTTCGTTTGTTTTGTTTTTCTTTCATATTGCTGCATTCAGGAGTGGCTTTCAAATAATTTTTAAAATAAGCTTTAAATGATATTCTTGCGAAAAAACATTTACAAAACCATAAAACATTAATACGTAAAACAAACAGAATTAAATTGTACTCATGAATGACGTAAAATTGTTAAATAAAATTGAGAGTTTAGTCATTTTAAAATCTATCAATTATCTGTATTTAGACAGTTTAACTTGTACTAACTTCAATTCATACCAGTTTAATTTTTAGATTAAAGTGTGCAGTATAAGCCGATATTTCTTGTAAATTATCCAGTTACTCTGTAAATGTAAAAGAAAACTATCTACTGTACATTTAGTTAGTCTTTAAATCATAAAAAGATAACGAATTTTTTTCATTTTTTTAACTTAAAAATAACTACTATTTTTAGTCCCCTACCGGTGAAACCGGGGGGGGGGACTATAGGTTTCCTCTGCGTCCGTCCGTCCGTCCGTCCGTCCGTCTGTCTGTCTGTCTGTCTGTCTGTCTGTCTGTCCGTCTGTCTGTCCCCGTCAGTCTGTCCCACTTGGTTTTCCATACTTTTTTTCTTAACGCTTGCAGATATTGAGCTGAGTTTTGGTATGTAGGTGTATCTTAATGAGTTACAGATCAAGTTTGAATTTCACTTCGCTTCATTGATTTTTGACAGAATTATGGCCTTTTGAATATTTTTCATAATCGCTTAATTAAGATCGGGTTCGAACTGCGCTAACTTCCGATTGTTGACAAAAATATGAAGCGAGGAAAAGACGGTGGAGAAATGAGTTGAATTTTCGTCTTAATGTGGATTATTTTATTGGTTTTAAGGCATTTACAACTTGAAAATCTTTCAGTTTTACCTTGGACATGACTTTTGCATATTATAAAATGACATCCTAAAGAAAAAGGGGAACCCGGTAGGGGACATGTATTGCTTATGCAATACTCTCAGAATGCTTGTTGAACAAGACAGGTAGTTGGACAATATTTCAATTCAATGAACTACTGCTTGTTCAGTTTTATTTTTTCAAATAAAAAAGTTAACAATTATTTTTAATTTTTAGTATTTCCCGACCTTCATTTTATAGTTTCCTTAATCGCCTTGGTTATCTACTGCTATATATTACACTTATTTTTTATCGTCATGCTATTTATCCATCAGCCATTGATGATCGTCATTATTGATTGATTGTATATTGTTTAACGTCCCTCTCGAGAATTTTCACTCATATGGAAACGCCTCCATTTGCTGATGAAGAGCTGCAAATTTTATCCTTAACTCAACACTCAGGGTCGTTTAACAGGGAGGGATCTTTTTCGTGCCAGCACCTCCTGCGACACGGGGCCTTCATTTATACGGTCTCATCCAAAGTGCTGGTCTCCACATCTGAAAATTGGATTCAAACCCGCGACGTCAAGATCAACTCCCTACTTTGCGACTCGAGGGCAGACGCTTGATTCACTGCACCACGCGGGCGACGATAACAAATTGAATATTCTCAGGTTCTTCGGATTAATTACGATCAATTAATAAGTTTCAAATTTAATTCATACCAACATATAAATTACCCTCGTACATTGTATGAGATAAAATTTGAAACATAATTCACATTTTCAGACATAATGGAGGTTTTGAAATGGAAGTATAAACACTCGTACTGTTTGTTTTCTTCAAAAATATAGTTTTACAAAAGCAACTTTGTTTGCAAGCATCTTTTTAATAACAGGCGTTGCGAAAATTGTTTGCATTAACCGTTGTTATTATGTCACTACATCTGTCAGAAATAATTATTTATAGCTAAGTAGATATTTTTCAATGACTATAAATCAAGTATACGTAATTATCTTTTTTTTAAACAGTGTACCTGCGAGGCTGTTCAAATACAAAGAAAACTGGGTGTATATCACGAAACTTCACATCATTTGAAAACAAAAAACTTCCGGGTCATCTCTGTCAGTGTAACCTTGACCTTTGCAATACGGACTTCAACGTTGAAAGCAAGAGTCGATCAATTGTAAAAGAACCTTTGCGTGCCCCTATTTCAGACCAGACTTCTATCAGAACAACAAAGAATGGAGCAAAAATTTCGACGCCATTTTCTTCAATGATTTTATTTTTTATCGCAAATCTTTTTATTGATGGGGTAGCATGACATCTATGTTACAAATTGTGTTATTCTGCTTTTGTTTTGTCAATTATATAATTTCACTTATGTAGTGTTAACATCAAGTTAAAGTCTTTTGTTTGAATAAAAAATAATAATTTTCGTCTCATTTTTTGTAATTTGTTTTTGCTTTGTTTGTGCACGTCAAATTAATGACCTAAAACAAAAAAAAAAATAATAATAATTGAAAAGTCTAAAAAGTTAAAGTATTTTTTTTATTGTTGAATTCCTTTTTGTAAAAAGATATTAAACTTTCTTAATATTTGACCAGTAAGTCCATTGAAATTGATATATTTTCTAAAATGATATCAAATGAAATATTGGAGGAATTGAACAGTAACCCAGTCCAAAGGTCTATTCAAACGATACAACACAGAAGCAGAACAAACAAGAACCTCCAAAATAAATCGTTTATGAGCCGTTATCTAATTTTTTGCCAACTGGAATCAGAAAACTATTTATAAAAATTTCCGTCATAAATTTCCTACAGCTGTTTGATATACCATTTTTTTCATTTATACTATATATAAATGGTAAAATATCGTATTTGCCACAAATCAAGTCAATCTCTGTTCCGTCCCCTTTGACTTCCTTAATACAAGTATCCATGTGTGTTTTTGAGAACAATTTGTTGAACTTATCTTATGCATTTTATTTATTTTGATTGCTTTTATTTCCGTTGTAACACACGCCTGTCTAAGTACAGTCTCAGATGTCCTGAAATTATTTCATAACAGAATATTGTAAATATTATGTATTATAGGGCTATTGGACTTATATTGGTGAATATTGGCACGAGTTGGCTGTTCAAATGCACGAGCTTGCGAGTGACTTTTACAGTCAACAAGTACCAACATTCACCAATATAATTTCAATAACTCCTTTATTATATAGCTAAAACATTTCCACGTAAATTATAATAATTATTCCAACAAAAAAACCCTCAGATTAATGATTTTTCAGTATCGGTATTCAAATTGATGTCTGTCCTGTTAGCGTTCAATATCGCATCATTCCGATGACCCTGCAGTGCAATATGATTTGCTTATTTAGGTTTTAATGGGTCTAATACGTACTATATTTTAATAAATAATTTCATTTTTGTGTGAAAAATAAACATATCTTACCTAGATGCCACTTCCTTTCTTTAATTTAGGTCTAAGAATTTGACCAGACGACTTTTTTTGTTTACAACGGGGCGTTCGATATTGAACGCTCGTATTCGGAATGTTTTGGGCATTCTCATATTCATAATACAAAGTTAGCGTTCAATAAAACGTCAAGATATTGAACGTTAAAAATCTTCAGATTTTTGGTAGTATTTTATCAGAGACTATTTATTAGCTATATAATAAAATTTGATATTGTGTATTTACTGTTATAGTGTACAAAAAGAAGAATACAAATGTTAAGAATATTTTTCTTAATTGCATCCAAGGCATAATGATGCCTCTTCTCTAAAAATACCCACAGGTCTCATCCAGCTGACAGGCTTTTTTTAACTCGATATTTTTTGTAATTCTGGGGTTCATTTAGTTGTGTTATATCCTTTGAACGAATTTGCCATCATTAAGCAATCTATAACGAATAATGCAATTTCGAATCTCATAGGATATATAAAATATGAGTAAACAACAAACAATTGTTCCTATTGTTATGATGACCGCTCTCTTTGTAGAGGTGGTTGCTTTCAAGTTTTCCTTACATTTTACCGATTCCTCTTCCTGAGTTGAATTTCCTAAATAAACGAAAATACGAGTAAAATCTTTTAATTCAAATCATTTGGAAAACAAATCATCAGAAGGATAATAACATTTTATTGATGGTCTACATCTCCCATTCGTTCACCATGACATGCAATGACCCTTTAAATCGTTTTAAAAATGAACCTTTAATCAAATAATTTCAATTCATTTTTACATAGATAATGACCATGCAATTACTGAATTCCCTTTCTATACAACTTTTTTGCAAAATAGTAATGAAAACATTCATTGGATTGTATTTATGTTTTTACGTTCTATTTTAGAATTGTTTACCTGGTACCCAGAAACGTCATAATGTACCAATTAACAAGAAAGAAATATTTTTTTGTCGGGGCTCAGGGCAGTGGATCTTTCTTTTTTCATCGCCTACCTTAACACGAGCCGTGGTTAACGATGTCTCATCAGAGATAAAAGTAATGGTTTTTTAATGTTTCATCAGAGCTCTAGATACAAGTAACTTTTGTTCTCAAATTATCGTGCTCAAAAAACAGACACTAGCCATTCGATTGGGCTGAAATCGGAAACAATCCGAGCACGAACAAGCAACTCTAGCGCCTTACTTACCAAGGGGGTCATTTGTGATAATAAGCATTCAAAAGATTGATGTGTACTACAATTCTCCCTTAAATTAAAATCAACGAAAAACGATGTCTTTTTGTATTGTGAAAACAATTCAAAGACAGCATTTCTATTATTGTTATCAATACCATATATATTTTCGGTCGGCAGAGGGTGCTCACTCCTTCATGGCATATGATCCCTTGTCTGATTTTATGGAGGTCTGTGTTAGCTCTACTCTTATTTTGTATTGTTCTATGGACTTTTAATCTTGAACACTGCTCGTTATCTCCATATGTTTTATTATTCACCTTAAGAATACGTTGATTGATTGTATACTGTTTAACGAATCTCTCTAGAATATTTCACTGATATGGAGACGTCACCATTGCCGGTGAAGGGCTGCAAATTTAGGCCTATACTCGGCACTTAATTAGGCCTTTGAACAGGGAGGGATCTTTATCGTGCCACACCTGCTGTGACACGGGGCCTTGGTTTATACGTTCTCATCCGAAGAACCGCCTCATTCAGTCGCCTTTTACGACAAGCAAGGGGGTACTGAGGACCTATTCTAACCCGGATCCCCACGGGACCCTTAAGAATAGGATATTAAGATTGTACCTTGCGCTTTAGGACACCCTATCTTATGATCACAGTCTTTAGGTAAACAGTCACAATTTCCGCCACATCTTGCCCCAAAAGTTTTCTCAGGACACATTTTGGCACAGTTGTCTCCATAAAATCCATCTGGACATTCTATTAAAAGTCATTAATAATTTCAAATATAAGGAAATTTAAGCAAATATAATATTTACAGTATAAATTCTTTAAAGGTGTAAAAAATATGACTTTAAAAATGTATTACCTCCACATGTGTCATTTATCCTGGATAGACCAGCTTGACAAATTTCTAATCCAGCTCTGAAAATAGGAGAACGTATAAGAAATGGTTCGTACATTGTTTACCTTATTTTTTTTATTTATTTATTTTTTTTTTTTACAAATATTGTTATGACTATTCACCACCTTTTCGTTTACAGATTCAGTATTAAAATATAGGAAGGTTTTATTTCAAAAATCTTCTGATACTTACACGTAAAGAAAATTTGTAGATAATATGTGAAACACACTTGCACAACAGAACACAACAAGTAAAAAGCAACAGTCCAACATTTCAACTTAATAAATAATACCCCATAAAACTAATCACACAGTTACTGTACAGATTATGTATTCATGTTTATCAAGTGCGTAGTATAAGGAATTTACTTCCTAAAAATATATGCACTTAGCAAAAAATATTAATTTTCCATGTCCGTTCAGTTTAATATGTAACAATTATGTTCTCATTAGATTATATTTTAATGTATTCCTTTTAGAAAAAAAATTCAAATGTGAACATTAAACAGGGAAATCGACTTTTGTCAATACGAACTTATATTTCTTTCCTCCACAATTTAGGAACTATATACTTGACGCAGAAAACTTTGACCTTTCCATAACCCACAAATTGTGTTATCAATCTCAATTTCAATATCCCACCTTCACTCATCCTGCAAGTACCCCTCGCATTGACCTAATAAATGTAACCTAATATCCCAAAGATTTATCCGGTTACGCAGCACAGTTAAAGTTACAAAAAGGAGGCGGAGCCTAATTTGTACGGGAAAACTTGACTATGACATCGTACACATATACGTCATTCAACATTTCTTTAAAATACCACAAAATGAAGTTATCTACTATTTCAACCAGTAATAAATCACCAAACTACATAAATACTTACTACAGCGTGCTGTTTTGTCGTTATTTATATCCCACATAACAAGTTATAAACAAGTCACTGATCGCAATACACTTGTCAATATGACGTCATTTTTACAACGTGACGTAGTTTGTATGCAGTTAGAGGCAGATATAGTAATATTTTCTCAACAAAATATGTATTCTCTAAAATTTTAAATAAAATATTATTTACAGATATTCTATGGGTTTATAACTTGAATTTAATGTCTTCTTCACTCTTTTACTAATATATTTTCTGTACATTACGTATTTAATTGACACTGCCGTATATTTGTATGGAAGTACATCGGAGGGTAACGTGGGGTGTCTTAATAAATCGATTTAGTGCAAGGGCATACACTCTATGGATCAAAGTAAGCTTTTACATTTCAACTCTTGAACTATTAAGGTATCTGAAAAGTGCTGCGATCCTGATGAAATCTTGAAAACAATTTAATTATATAAATATTTCATGCCACTGACCAGCAAAAAATTTAGCATTCGTACATACAGTACCGACCAGACCCAACCTGACACCAAAGCAGTCCCTGGGACTGCTTTGGGACTGCTCTGGGACCGCTGTGGGACTGCTCTGGGACCGCTATGGGACTGCTCTGGGACTGCTATGAAAAGCAGTCCCAGCAGTCCCAGCTGCTCCTGGGACTGCTTTCTGGGACTGCTTTGTTCACTCATGTGTGACAAAGGTTCTGAGTGACATGATAGCTCCGCCCCCTTGTGTACTCTGAATTTGCAGGCTCCCTATTGTTTTGTTTACTTGCAGCAGAGAGGAGTTTTAACTGTTTAATACGCAAGGATTTCTTATAATCTTTTAATAACTAGAGATTACATGTATTATAGTTAATTTATAGTTTTAGGGACTGTATATTTACACAAATGTAATATAGAATATTTTTAAAATAAAGTTGTTAAATAAGGAAGTCAGGAGGAGATTTTTATTCCTAAAGTATATAAAACTACAGGCTCATGAGAAAAAATATCTACATATAGATTTCTTTTCTTATTAAATCTAAAATTAAATACTCAAAATTTTCATTTGGCACTATTTAAAAAATCATAACATTTAGATATAAGATATTTTAATTGAAAAGGCTACACGTTTTACAAGCACCACGCTAAAATGGTATTACATACAACCCTCAAATAAAAATCTAACAATTTATTTTATGACATGAAATAAAATTATGCCACCATTCTTCCGTAACATAAGCAATGTGAACAATTATACGGGAATTTACAGATGAATTAGTTTTTAATTTATGAATAAGTTATTAAAAGAGTAAATTAAAAAAAGATTAATAAACAGTTGAAAACCTGTAATACCTGGAATTGTGATTTATTTCTTTTTTGTTTTGCTTTTGTTTACCTGGCCGATAATGTGTATGAATAAAATGGTATAAACACCTGTGGTTTCAATCGCCTTTGGGCAGAAAATCAATCATGCATGTTATTTGGGTACACGTATCAGTGTTACACATCACTGAACATTCTGCTCAATAAACAATGACCCTAATTTCAATCTATGTAAAAAATGTAATGAAAAAAAAAGATAAATAAAATGTGTATAAATTTCTTTCAAGATTAATAAATGTTGAACATAATCTTAGATTCTATACTGGTCACTAATACAGTTCACAAATAAAACAATAATTTTTAAATTAACATATCAGTAAAGAATAATCAATACTGAAAAATATTACTTGGCAAAATTAGCAACGGATTTTTCAAAAGCCTTTATACTTTTTAAAAAATGCCTTTAGAGTATCCCGATAGTATGGAAATCGGCCATGATGTATAATGAATAGATCTATTTAAAACTAATTCTGGTGAAATATAATTAATTCAATTTTAATTTTCTGTATAGAAAATAAATATGGGAGCCAGTATCAATCACAAAAAACCCAAGATAATTGTGTTTAAATATGCATATTCAGTGTAATTCATTTATGTAAGTGTAAGCTTTATTCCTTTAACAAAATATTATTTTGAAATTGTTTCAAATCTATGCGGGTACTGCTCATACATGTAAATGACCTTCGCATTGTAAGGATTCCTGGCATACTGCTCAGAAAAAAATTCAGCTGCCTTTTATAGTTCCATTGTTTATTGGAAATCTCATTTCTGAGTTAGCCCCGCCTATGAAATTAATAAACCCCGCCCACTGGGACTGCTGGGACTGCTTTCTGGGACCGCTGGGACTGCTGGGACCGCTCTGGGACTGCTGTGGGACTGCTCTGGGACCGCTGCGGGACTGCTTTAGCAGTCCCAGAAAGCAGTCCCCGGGACAGCTCTGGGACTGCTTTGTGTCAGGTTGGGTCTGGTCGGTACTGTACAAATATAATTTTGACAATGAAACTGCAGAATTTAGACAGGATCGCAGCACTTTTTAGAAACTACAATACGTGTTGAAAATATCTATATACTAAACTTTAAAATCTAACTTGGTTATGCCCTTGCACTAGTGATATTTATATGTAACATCATTACTGCAAGTCAATGAGCTAAAATCGCGTGACTGCCTCATCACGTGACTAGTCTTAATATAAAATATAATCGTCCTCGATATGTAGTTATTAATCATAATTACAATTATCCGATATAAATAATGTACTAAGAATAATCGCCATCCCGATTACAAATACATTTTTATATACAAAATTTAGGCGATATTTCCATTGCGCACCTTAACTGTACTGCGTACTGTCCTAATAAAGCCTCCTGCATGTATTCCGAGGTTCTACAAGTATTGTGGCGTCATGTATATTACAATGTTTATGCAATGGCGCCGTAGTTTCAAATGCAGAAATGTGCCTAAATCTGTCGATCTGAATTGGCTATTTTTGGACGTCCAAATGTTAAAAATACGTTGCAGGATAAACAAAATACATGATAACTGTCTTGAAATATAAGCTATATTTGGGGTTGGGTCAAAACCTAAGAGGGCTCGTCAAGCCCCTCCATCTATCACGTTTTCTTACCCTTACCCAAATATTGCTTATAACCAGTAACCATGTATTTTATATCAAACCTGATCTTTATATCGTCTAGAATTTATATTCCCAAACACATACCAATGATTGAGCATTCTATTTTAATTTTTATGGGTGATATTCGCAGCAGTGAAAATATTTTAAGGGCATACGCAACGTACCCCACCTACTGATAATTTTTCAAGATATTCTAAATTTAAACTTACAATACCATTACAATTTATTAGACAAAATATCAGTTGCGTTACCAGGGGTGTTGAAAAGATATCAAATTGTGAAAATATTTGCATAATTCAGAGAAAAATGTACAAAAATTACAAAACATACATTCCAGATCTTTTTTTTTTTAATCAAAAATTAATTTAGAAGAGGTGTACATATCCATATACAAACAGTAAAAGTATTGCACACGGGTCCTTCCTTTAGTGGAACTCTTCAACTCCAGGGAAGAACCCAATAAAGTTCAAACTACAATGCGTATGACCTTAAATTAATGTACGTTCCCCTTGGAATCCTTAATTCAAAAAAATCAAAAAATTACAATGCTGCTATATTTACTGTCAGGGCTTAAAAAAGTGCCATTAAGTTCTTATACATGTTCATTATACTTGCCTAAATTATACGATAGGCTGATATGTATCTCACTACGTGTAATCAAATATATTCGCCCTATTTTAGGCATGCAAAGCTCATTTTGATGCATAGACTCTATTATTTTGTTGGCCTACTAGTGGAAACCTGTATGGTTAATGGTAAATGTTTGCATGCATACCTCAAAGATATTGTAACATTGTACCAACGACTACAATGTTACTCCTATTGCATAAAGGACTATTATACAATAATCTATTTACTGCAATATATCAAAGAAATCTTTTTCCATTGACAAAATATTCAATTGCACTCTGAAGGTTCCACTTCATTTTTTCGGTTCAGTGATCGCCGAAATATGACTGAAATCTGGCTGACCCTTCTCCTGTACATAGACGCACTGTGTTTGAACAATTTATACGGAAAATATACCAAAACAAATTCATTATAACTAAAACAAATCTTGATACGTAAATATAATATTCATGTTTATTGTTTAATATAAAATATGTACCATGGCCTCTTTATGTAGGGGATGTCGCATTTTGTTTGATGACGTTCCATGAAAACATTCTTGCTTTTGACGATATCCGTCCATTTACATGTACCTCAATGCACTATCTTTGACGAGATGCCTTTATTTCAAATACTGATCAATCAAATCCTCTTTATATAACTTTTAAATTTCTTAAATTACTGAGTTCGAAACACAATACTTAGTTTCAAAACAGAATTTTTCCTTTTCAATTTCAAATGAAGAATTGTGAACCAATTTTGTCTCAGTTTGACATCCAGTTTTGACACTCTTCAAACTAGGACTATAGATTGCGAAAAATAAAATATTAATTATAACCCCTTCCATTTTCAACGATATGTGTAAACCACGAAGTTTTCTGAAATCTATATTTCATTTACTACACTATCTTACAAAACTGATAAAATGAGGTACAATTTTTTAAAAAATGTCACATCAAAAGATGATAATTATTAAGTATTTAAGTCGGGTTTATCAGCTAAACTAGGTATGTTGCATCACATCGCTGAATTATATTGAATATATGGTGACAAATATTCATCTCAGGTTTCCTTTGAATCCACTTTAAAAAAAAATTTGTAATTCATGACACGTTTTCACCCGTGAAACTCATAGTTTTTATTATTTTCGATGTTTTTCATATTTGTGATTTAGTCTCCTATAAGTATCATGTAACGTAGAAGAAGTATTTTGATACAAGTGCTCAACTATGAAAATCATAGAACTTGAAGAGAACAGTAACTCAGAAATTAATTTGCACTTAAATCTTAAAACACATCTTCAACATTTTCTACTCCCCGTTGGACAAACTAAGAGAAGGGATTGATGATATCTAAAAAACATAACTTTGCAAAGTTCAATATCATATCTGACAAGATTTGCAACATACACCAAAACAACACATTCTGCAGATTTAACCACTTAGTTTTAAAAATATATATTCAATTTACTATATAATCTTACATCAATGATTAAAAGGGGTACAAATTGCAAAATGATACGTCATATGAAAATATGTTTTTTAAGGCGGGTTAATTTGCTTTACTAGGCATGTAACATCAAACCATCAAATCAAATTAAATCTTTGCTGACAGCTGCTCATGACAGATTTCCTTTGAACTCACTGTTAAAATTATTGTTTTCGTAATTCATGTAGCGTTTTCTCCCATGGAACCAATGGTTTTATGATTGTCGATGTTTTTTTATATCAGGCCCCAAAACCATAAACTGAGAATAGACTTAAGTCAAAATTTAAAATTTTAATATCTTCACTTCCATTCGATGTATTATCTTAAAAGTTTGTAACTGTGCAAAATATTTCAATTCAAACATATTTCAAAAGTTTAATTTTATTATCGAAATTATCTCAAAAGTTATATCGATTTGAAATTTTGACTTAAGCCTGTTCTCAGTTTATGGTTATGGAGCCTGATATTGCCTAATAAATTTCATGTAACGTAGAAGAAGAATATGTGCTCAACTATAAATATCATAGAACTTTTAAAGAACAACAACTCTGGAAGTTTTTTGCACTTTATTCTTTAAATATATCTTCCACATTTTCTACTTCCTGTTTGACAAACTAAAGAGAGGGAATTGATGATTTTAATAAAAATAACTTTTCAAAGATCAATATTATATCTGACAAGTACTGCAACATACACAAAATGACACACCCAGTAGTTATTTGGTAAGAATAAACTCAGTACTTTCATGCCGTGTATTTCTAACGAAACTGATCGTTATTATCATTGGTGTTGTTCATTTCTGCGTAAATGTTTTCCTCATTGTTACTTATATTTACATTTTCATCCTCTTTTAACATTTTGTAAAAAAAAATATACAACTCATACAAAATGCACAAAGTAAGATAACTTGATATGATTATACCAAAAAAGATTATGAAAATTCTCAAGGAAGATTTATTTTCCTCCACCTTTTTGGTGTTATTTACATGTATATATGTGTCCAAATCGTTTGTGGTATGTGAGTTTTCTTCATCAGTACTATTTTCATCCCTGAATTCTACAAAAAAGTAAATAAATAAAAAAAAATTTAAAAAATAAAAAAGAGTATTTCAACCAGAAGAAAAGACCTGATTTAATTTAAATTCGGGCAATTAAATCGATAACAAGGCGTCTGTAATATCATGAAGAATACAACAGAAATACATTTTTACTTACTTTTGACTTGTTGTACTATAGAACAACCCTTTTCATTGTGACAATGTGAAATCGAACAATTACACTTTAATCCACATGATTTCCCATTCTCCGGATATATACACTTCACACTACACTTGTCTCCAAAATAACCTGCTTGGCATTCTTTATGGAAAAAAAACAACATGTTTTTAGTTGGGCACAAAATATAATTATAGATAAAATCTAAAAAAAAAAAAACATTTTCACAATTGAGAAAGAAAGTCGCCAATTAATTTAAATTCATATTATATTTAATTTTCATAATTACATGTTTCATAAGAAAACCTAGAACGTTGTTGCTATCCTATCATTTGATAACTACTCAACTTTTTTGATAATTCATATATAAATCTGTCACTTCGTAAATAATTTATAACTAACTTTGCTTCTATATAAATGAAGACTTGTGCTCTTATTCGCATTTTATATGTGTTTATTACAATAAGTTGGTTTCATTCTAAGCAAAAAAAGTATCCTTTAAATTTTCAAAAGCAGATATACACCCAGAAAAATTGAAAAAAAGAAGACTTTTTACATTTTAAAATTGAGCATTCAAAATTAAATTTTTATTTCATATTTTGAAAGAAAAAATATTATTCTCTGTAGATAATGTTTTGTACCTTTGCAAATATTTTTTACTCTGTAGAAGCCATAACAGCATTCGGAATCAGAGTTATTTCCGACAGGCCTGAAGGAGAACAAAAAGGATTTTAAAGTCAGAAATGCATTAATGTGATTTTGATTTTATTCTATACAAAAATGCAAAACAGTAAATAACTACAATGTTAGGAACAATATGACATGCTTACCCAATCAAGCAGGCGTCTAAATATGTACATCCCAGAACTAAAATGACAAGCTGTAATAGCGAATTCACGCTTAAAAACTGCGTAAAAATCAAATTCATTTCACTAGATAACGATTAAGAATATTTCTTTCTTTGCTATAATACGTTTAAATAACATACTCGTAATCTTTGATTAGGAATATGGATGTTACTGAATTTACTCCGACCCAAAGCTTTGTTTTCTTCCGTATAAAATGGAAAAAATATTCCACTCAAGAATGATTTATTGATTGTGTGCTGTTGATCGGCGATCTGGAGAAATTTTTTACTCATACGTAGACGCTAACACTTTAGCTTGCCGTTGGAGGGCTGCAAATTTTGTCTTATACGCGGCACTCAGGGCATTGAGGGATCTTTTTCGCAACAGCATCTACTGCGACTCGGGGCCTCGGTTTATATACATCATCCAAAGGATCGGTCTTCACATCCAACAGTGGGATTCGAACCTGCGACATAAGTATTGACTCCTTTCTTCGCGACTCTAGAGCAGATGCTCTAACCACTGCGCCACGCAGGCGCCTTCCACTCAAGAAAATGATGAATAAAATATTCCTGTATTGGCTGGACTTTTATTGTTCAATATGAACGTTGCAATAATTAATTTTTTCTTCCTCTTCGTGAAAGAAGTTTGCATTTATATTTATTTCTGCAATCAAGACATGGTTAAACATTAATTTGTTAGTTGTCTTGTACATGTTTTATGTAAATGAGAATTGTGCATTTTATAAAATTATTTTTCAGAATTAAGTGTGTATAATCATTTCATGTTGAACTAGTAAACTAATTGTTCAGAGAACAATAAGACGTCTTTCCACCTTTTTAAGTGTTTCAATATCATTTGGGCTGAAAAAAGTAGGAAAAAAGCAAGAAAATAAATAAAACAGCAAAATTCTCATTCCTCTATGCGAAATGCAGAAGGATTAAACGTACGCTGAACTAGGATCTGAGGTCCCCTGCTCAGTTCACGACTATCGGGCCTGTTTACTCCGCTACAAAATGTAGTGCGTTGCATACGTAAAGTGAAAATAGAATAAATCGTAATACTGTGAAGCCTTTAAAGTGTAAAACAAACAACTTTTTAAAAGGAATAACCATCTGATGGGTATTAGAAAAAATAGAGGGGGTGGAGGGTGGGTGCTGAGCAACATTAACTGCAATTTTATGCGATATATGATATATAAGCGTTTAACATTTATGGATTGCGTTAGGTGACCTGTGGTCTCCCTTATGATTTTATTCCATGTAACGTTATAGTACACATCAGTAGGGGACAACAGTAAGGTGACCAGAGATCAAGTAATATTGTACATCAGTTGGGGGATCAGAGGTCACCTTATATTGTACATCGGTAGGGGGACATCAGTGGGGAGAGCAAAGGTCACCTTATATAGTACATAAGTAGGGGGAAAGAGGTCACCTTAAACTATACATCAGTAGGGGAACAAGAGGACACCTTAATGTACATCAGTTGGGGGACCAGAGGACACCTTATTTGTACATCAGTAGGAGGACCAGAGGACACCTAATATTGTACATCAGTAGAGGGACTAGAGGGCATTTTGAATTCTACATATGTAGGGGGACCAGAAGACACCTAAAATTGTACATAAGTAGGGGACAACAGAAAGGGGGCCAGAGAACACCTTTAATTCTACATCAGTAGGAGGACCAGAGGTCACCTTTAATTCTACATATAAAGGGAGACCAGAGGTCACCTTAAATTGTACGTCAGTGGGGGGACCAGAGGTCACCTTATGCTGTACATCAGTAGGGGACATCAGTAGGAGAGCAGAGGTCACCTTATATTGTACATAAGAAGTGGGACCAGAAGTCACCTTATATTGTACAGCAGTAGGGGGACCAGAGGTCACCTTAAATTGTAATAGGGGGATCAGGAGTCACTTTATATTGTACATCATTTGGGGGACCAAAGGCAACCTTATATTGTACATCAGTAGAAAGACCTGTGGTCATCTTAAATTGAACATCAGTAGGGGAATAGAGGACATCTAATATTATACTTTAAATCAATAGGGGGACCTGAGGGCACCTTATATTGTACATCAGTAGGGGACTAGAGGTCACCTTATATTGTATATCAATAGGGGGACCAGAGGTAACCTTATATTGTACATCAGAAGGGGGGGGCAGAGGACACCATATAAAGTACATTGTATGGGGACTAGGGGTCACCTTATATTGTACATCAGTAGGGGGACATCAGTAGGCCCCAGAGGACACTTTATATTTAACATCAGTAGGGGACTTCAGTAGGGGGACCAGAGGTCACCTTTTATTGTACATCAGTAGGGGACCTGTGGTCATCTTATATTGAACATCAGTAGGGGACCTGAGGACACTTAAGATTACACTTTACATCAATAGGGGGACCAAAGGTAACCCTGTATTGTTCATCAGTAGGGGGACCAGAGGTCACCTTATATTGTACATCAGTAAGGGGACTAGAGGACACCTTATAATGTATATTGTTCTTCAGTAGGGGGACCAGAGGACACCTTATATTGTACATCAGTAGGGGGACCAGAGGACACCTAATATTACACTTTAGATCAATAGGGGGACCAGAGGACACCTTATAATGTACATCAGTAGGGGACATCAGTAGGGGGACTAGAGGTCACCTTATATTGTATATCAATAGGGGGACCAGAGGTAACCTTATATTGTACATCAGTAGGGGGACCAGAGGACACCATATATCGTACATTGGTAGAGGGACTAGGGGTCACCTTATATTGTACATCAGTAGGGGGACCAGAGGACACCTAATATTACATTTTAGATCAATAAGGGGACCAGAGGGCCCCTTATAGTAGGGGACATCAGTAGGGGGACTAGATGTCACCTTGTATTGTATATCAGTTGTTGAACCAGGGGACATCTTTTATTGTACACCAGTAGGGAGACCTGGGGACATCTTATATTGTACATGAGTAGGGGGACCAGGGGTCACCTTATATTATTCATCAGTATTGGGACCAGGGGTTTCTTATTTTGTACACCAGTGGGGTGACAAGAGGTCACCTTATATTGTACATCAGTAGTGGACCATAGGCCACCTTTTATGTACATCAGTAGGGGGAACAGAGGTCACCTTATATTGTACATAAGTAGGGAACATCAGTAGGGGGACCAGTGGTCAACTTATATTTTACAAAAGTAGGGGGACCAGGGGTCACCTTATAAAGTACAACAGTAGGGGGCCAGGGGTTACCTTATATTGTACAACATAAGGCTGACTAAAGGACACCTTATATTGTACATCAGTAGGAGATAACAGTAGGGGACCAGAGGTCACCTTTTATTGTACATCAGTAGGGAGACAGAGCCTTCAGTTCAGTTTTAACGTTCGTTACTGGGTGGACCAGAAGTAAACTAATATTGTACAACAATAATTGACCAAAGGTCACCTTATATGTTATTTCATTATGGAGACTTATGGTCATCTTTATATTGTACAACAGAAAGGTGACCATAGGTCACCTTGTACTGTACAAAAGCAGACGTCAGATTATATTGTACATCATAAGTGGAAATGGAGGTCAACTTATACATCAATAGGAGGTCAGAGGTCACCCTATGTTGTAGATCATTATGAGGACCTTAGGTCACTCTATATTTTACATCACAAGGGGGACCAGAGGTCACCTTGTATTGTACATAAATAAGGAGACCAGTCCCCTTTGTTGTACATTTTTAAAGAAATCAGACAAAAAAAATACTATATGAATGCAGAGAGATAAAGCATCAACGATTCTAGACTCGTCTTAACCAACAGACACCTAAAAAGAAAACAAGGGCGGACCAGTGGGTACAGATAAAATGCATATTAACGAGATGCCAGTCGTTCACTTAAGAACACGACAAGAGGCCTATGGATCTTATAGGTCATTTGAACATCTTGTAAAACTTTAAAACTTTCATTTCAAATAAGCGGTAATAATTAGCAATAATTAGTAGTGCTCATTGACCACAAAAACCCTCATCCTGAGGTCATACATTTCACAATTTTGAAAAAAGGACCATTGTTCATAAAAAAAATTGGTTTATACCAAAGAACAAATTTCAAAGCATTAATTCAATTACAGTATTGTCTACAAATGACATGGTACCCATGAGCCAGGGGCCTTGAAATTTATAATTCTGGAAGACACTCCCTTGCTTATCATAACTATACGTAGTTAGTTTAATTAATATCCAGGAGCAGAGAGGAAGATTTTTTTAAAAGAATTAAGGAGGCTGGGGGACAACAAATTAAACACAAATTAACCATCAATTTTAACTTATTTTTTTGATACGGTATCATAAGCTGTCAACTATCATTTGGCAAAGAAAAAATTCATACATTTTAGTTTTTAAAATTTGATCATTTTTGTATATCTTTATATGGAGCTCTTCTTTTAAAGGAGATCAAAATAGTCTGAAAATGGCTGCCACCCCTCAGCCTCTTTAATGAATATAAACTTTACAGTTTATATAGCCCCAGCGTAACACCGGAACCCCTGACCTTTGGGTCACGAATTTCAAAACTTTGGAGAGAATACCCTTCCTCATCACAACTTTGCATGTAGTTAGTTTGTTTAATATCCAGGGACAGAGGGAAAGATTTTCAAAGAATAAATGTATTTCATAATTACTATTATTGTCGTTATGGGTATTTCCTGTGTGAACAGAATGGTGGATCTGTGTGGTTTTTATGTCACGTGACATGGTCATATAAATAGCAGGTGCGTGCTTAAAAAGTTACTCTACCGCTCGTACAGAACGTGTAAGGAATGGAAACCAGTAAATTAGGCACACACACATATATATGTTGTATATAAAGATTATTTAATGATTAAAAATAACGTGTGTTGAAATGAATACAAATGTGTTAAATTTGTAATAAACGTTCTGACGAGCAGCATTCCATACACATGAGTTGATTATTCTTTCAATACAGAATAAAAAGTATAATTAATTTATATTCGGACAGACGAAGTGAGAGAGATTATAAATTAATATAAATTTTATAGCCCTGTCCTAACCCCAGGGCCCCTGAACCTGGGACAATGAATTTCACAATTTTGGTA